CACTTGTTCGGCGCAGTGTCGTCACCAAGTTGCTCAAATTTCACGCTGAGAAAAGCCGCAGATGACGCGGAAAAGATTGTTGGAACAGAGGCCGCAGATGTTCTGCGAAAGAACTTTTACGTTGACGATGTCCACTTGTTCGGCGCAGTGTCGTCACCAAGTTGCTCAAATTTCACGCTGAGAAAAGCCGCAGATGACGCGGAAAAGATTGTTGGAACAGAGGCCGCAGATGTTCTGCGAAAGAACTTTTACGTTGACGACTGTCTGCACTCTGAAGGAAAAGAAGATACCGCTATCAGGATACGTGATGTTCGCCAGGCTTGTGCCCATGGAGGGTTTAATTTGGCCAAGTTCGTCAGCAACAGCAAAAACGTTCTCGAAAGTATCCCGGAAGAAGTGCGCGCCCCAGAAGTTAGATTGTTAGAATTAGGAAGTGATTACTATCCAGTGGAGAGAGCTCTTGGTGTCCAGTGGGCAATCGAATCGGACATGTTCGGTTTCATGTTTGTCATCAAAGACCAGCCACTAACAAGGAGGGGAATACTATCAACCATATCTTCCGTCTACGACCCTCTGGGTATAGCTGCGCCCTTCCTGTTAGTCGGGAAGAAGATATTGCAGGATCTGTGCCAAACAAAGCTAGGATGGGACGACGAGATTTGCGAAGAGTTCTGCGTATGTTGGGAAAGGTGAAGAGGCCAGTTGCCTGCACTTGAGCGTTTCTCTATGGAACGATGTCTGAAGCCCAATAACTTTGGGGTCGTCGTGTCGAGACAGATCCACAGTTTCTCTGACGCAAGTTCGACTGGTTATGATCAAGTATCTTATCTTAGAATGGAAAACGAGAGAGGTGACGTCCATTGCGCATTCCTTATAGGGAAGGCTCGAGTTGCTCCCGTGAAGACCATGACTATCCCTTGTTTAGAGTTAACCGCAGCCACTGTATCAGTTCGTGTGGTAGAGATGATCGCCAGAGAGCTAGACGAACCTGTTAGTAGCAAGCACTTCTGGACAGACAGCACAACCATGTTAAAGTACATAAGTAACGAAAAGAAGCGTTTTCAGGTCTTTGTCGCCAACCGTCTTCAGACGATACGAGACGCGACAAACCCCTACCAGTGGAGGTAAGTTACGTCCAAAAGGAATCCTGCAGCTGACGCTTCCCGTGGTCTTGACGGTCAAGAATTATCCCTGCAGTGTCGTTGGATTACAGGTCCAAACTTCTTACGGCTACCTGAGAGTGAGTGGCCTCAACTCCCTGATGACCTAGACGATATCCCTGTAGACGACCCTGAAGTTAAAAGGATCTTGGTACACAGCACGGATGTCGATGAGAGCGAAGATTTTCTGACGAGACTTAACCGATTTTCCAAATGGCACCGACTGAAGAAATCCGTCTCAAGCCCAAGCTAGGTATTACTGACGATGGTACAAGGAGAGGTGGAAATGCCACAAAGGTTGAAGCCGAGCCTCTGAGGGTAGANTGAGTGGCCTCAACTCCCTGATGACCTAGATGATATCCCTGTAGAAGACCCTGAAGTTAAAAGGATCTTGGTACACAGCACGGACGTCGATGAGAGCGAAGATTTTCTGATGAGACTTAACCGATTTTCCAAATGGCACCGACTGAAGAAATCCGTCTCAAGCCCAAGCTAGGTATTACTGACGATGGTACAAGGAGAGGTGGAAATGCCACAAAGGTTGAAGCCGAGCCTCTGAGGGTAGAAGAGTTAGACAGAGATGAGAAGACCATTCTTAGACTTATACAGAGTAGAGCGTTTCCCAAGGAAATGGGAGCCTTACAGAAGATTCAAAGAGCATATTCCAAGGACGATCGCCAATTCGCGAAAGCGAAGAAGTCTGAAATTAGGAAGTCAAGTACCCTGTTCCGCCTTGATCCCTTTCTAGACAAGGATGGACTCATCCACATTGGTGGTAGACTGGGTAATTCACAGGAGTTCGAGGAAAGCTTTAAGCATCCGGTTATCCTCCCTAAGAAGAGTTTCATCGTCGAGGTTATCATTCGTGACGCTCATGCTGGCAGAGGCATAACGTTGAACGAGCTTAGAAGCCGATATTGGATAGTTAGCGCGAATTCTGCTGTGAGACATCTCATTTCCAAGTGTGTTGTGTGTCGTCGTCTTCGAGGAACAACCGGTGAACAGAAGATGGCTGATCTGCTGGAGGAGAGGATAACATCTGCCCCTCCCTTCACTTATTGTGGTGTCGATCTGTTTGGTCCCTTTCAAATAAAGTAAGGCAGGAAAGAAGTCAAACGTTATGGGGTGCTATTTACTTGCTTAGCCAGTAGAGGAGTACACATTGAAACAGCAGACTCACTAGAAACAGATTCCTTTATGAACGCACTACGAAGATTCATAGCAAGGAGAGGACCGGTATGCGAGATCAGATCAGACCAGGGAACCAACACTGTGGGAGCTCAGACAGAGCTTAAGAAAGCCCTAGAGGAGATGGAGCATGATGACATCCAAAGACGCCTCAGCAAAGACTTCAATTCTGATTGGGTTATCAAATGGAAAAGGAATCCCCCAGCTGTGTCTCATATGGGTGGCGTCTGGGAACGTCAGATACGATCTGTTTGATCCATCTTATCTGCGCTGATGCGAGAATATGGTCACGTCCTTGATGATGAGTCTCTTAGAACCTTGATGGCTGAGGTAGAATGCATCATCAACAGCCGTCCACTTACCGTCTCGTCAAGTGATCCCGGAGATTTGGATCCTTTAACGCCGAGTCACCTATTGACGATGAAATCAAAGATCGTAATGCCGCCCCCGGGTAACTTCCAGAAGGCCGACGTTTATCTCCTTCGAAGATGGAAACGGGTTCAATATTTGTCCAACGTCTTTTGGTCAAGATGGAGAAAGGAGTACGTCCAGACCTTACAAGAGAGAGTAAAATGGAACAACCCGAAGAGAAACTTTCAAAGAGGGGACCTTGTATTGATCGCCGATGATAGAGCGCCAAGAAATCAATGGAATATGGCTCGAGTTGTCGACTCACGCCCAGATTCAAAGGGACAGGTCTGATCGGTGAAGGTTGCAACGGCAACGACAACGTTGGAGAGGCCAATTCAGAAGCTCGTGCTAATACTTGAGAATAAAGAAAACTGAGGACCAGGGGTATATCCCAGCCAGAGGAGCCATGGAGATTTAGAGATATTCAATGAACTTTAATGCTTAATTAAGAATTAAGGACATAAGAGTTTTTCCTAACTCTTAGGGGAGCCAGATGTTACGGCCGCATTCCACGTCAATATGTTTAGCGTTTAGTTCTTTGTATAGTTGCAC